AAGACCTCAACGAATCTACCCCATGTCAGAAAATGAGACGGCAGCACTTAAGAAGTACCTGAATGAAAGCTTGGAAAAGGGATACATCAGACCCTCAAGCTCGCCAGCAGGATACTCCGTACTCTTTGTGGGAAAGAAGGGGACTACTGACCTACGACCATGTATAGACTACCGACAACTGAACAAAATCACTATACGAGACAGTCACCCATTACCCCTGATTTCGGAAATACAAGACAAAATACGAGGAAAGAAATGGTTTACGAAACTCGATATTACGGACGCGTACAACAGACTGAGAATCAAGGAAGGAGAAGAATGGAAAACTGCATTCAAGACCAAGTTTGGACATTACGAATATCTGGTTATGCCTTTCGGATTAACCAATGCACCAGCAGCATTCCAACGGTACATCAACCATGTAATCGGGGATTACCTATACGACTTTACTGTCGCATACCTCGACGACATATTAATATTCTCAGACAGCATGAACGATCACGTACGACACGTAAGGATGGTCCTACATCGCTTACGGGAAGCAAAGCTACAGTTGAAGCTTAGGAAATGCGAGTTTCACGTACAAGAAACGGACTTCTTGGGACACAGAATCACTCAAGAAGGGATCCAAATGGATAAAGAAAAGGTACAGGCGGTACGAGACTGGCCTACACCAAAGAACGTTAAAGAAGTGCAATCCTTTCTCGGATTAATCAACTACTATCGACGATACGTGAAAGGATACGCAGGGATAATGAATCCCATATTCAAACTGTTACGAAAGGACTTCGAGTTTGAATGGACAACGGAATGCCAGAAAGCATTCGAAGAAGCGAAGCTTCGGCTCACCACCGCACCTATACTGATGCAACACGACCCGGAGAAACCAACAGTGTTGGAAACAGACGCTTCAGATTTCGCAATAGGAGCAGCAATGATGCAGGAAGGACCAGACAAGAAACTACGACCAGTAATGTATTACTCAAGGAAAATGCTTGATGCAGAACTCAATTACGAGATTCACGATAAAGAACTGCTAGCCATAGTGACAGCACTTCGACATTGGAGAGTCTACTTGGAAGGAACTAAGTTCCCAATACGAGTTATCACGGACCACAAGAACCTCACCTACTTCCTCACAACCAAGGTTCTTAACCGAAGACAAGCGAGATGGTCGGAATTGCTAGCAAACTATTGGTACGAAATAGAATACCGCAAGGGAAAAGACAACGAACGAGCAGACGCTCTAAGCAGGAGACCGGATCATGAAGAAGGAATCAGATCACCAGAACCAGCCCTGTTCAAGGAAACAGATAGGGGAACACTAGTACATAATCCTCAAACGGCAATACTCGCAGCAACACTAGAAGGAGTAACAGACTCGGAATTACAAGACAGAATCGCAAAAGAAACCGAGCAAGACGGACTGATATTCAACATGGTAAACAATGAGGATGACCGAATCACAATGACGGAAGAAGGATTAGCATTTTGGCATGGTCTAATCTATGTACCAAAGACACTCAGAACGGAAATTATCCAACTTCATCACGACAACATATTGGCAGGACACCCAGGAGTATCAAACACTCTAGAACGAATTACGAGGAACTACTACTGGCCAAAAATGATTCGAGACATCGAGAACCACATCAAGGAATGCGACCAGTGTCACAAGAACAAGATTAATAGGCACAAACCTCATGGACTAATGCAACCACTGGAAGCACCAGAATATCCATGGCAATGGGTAACAATGGATTTCATCGTCAAACTACCAAAGTCGCAAGGAAACGATTCGATACTTGTGGTAGTGGACAGAATGACTAAATATGCGCACTTCGTTGCAACCACGGAGCAATTGACAGCAAAACAATTAGCAATACTGTTAATTGACAAAGTCTTTCAGCACCACGGTATACCTGAGATTATGGTCTCAGATAGGGGACAGACCTTTGCATCGAAACTATGGAAATCCATGATGGACCTTATGGGAGGAGAACAGCGGCTGTCAACCGCTTACCACCCACAGACGAATGGACAGACTGAACGAACGAACCAAACATTGGAACAGTATTTACGCCATTACGTCAATTACGACCGAAATAATTGGGCAATGCTACTACCTATGGCACAAATGGCCTACAATACAAGCAAGCAAGCCACCATAGGAATGACACCATTCAAGGCATACACAGGAAAAGAAGCAAGAATGCCAGGAGAACCCAAATACAAGCAACCAATCGCACAAGAAGCAGAAGAAATGGTCAACGCAATGAAGGCGTTACACCAGTATTTACACAATGAAATTGAAAATCAAGGACAACAATCGGCAAGAAGATACAACCAAAAACATCAGAAGGGACCTGATCTCAAGAAGGGAGGGAAGGTCTACCTTTTACGAAATTTAGACGCCAAAAGAAAGGAAGACAAATTGAACCACCTACGAATTGGGCCATTCGAAATTGAAGAAAAAATCGGAGAAGTCAATTACAAACTAAAACTACCAAAAGCCATGAAAATACACCCAGTGTTCCACGTTTCATCATTGGAACCAGCGCCATCAAATGCAAAACTCCAAACAGATATCATTGTCGAGCAAGAGACATATGAAGTCGAAGACATACTAGGAGAAAAGCAAGTCAATGGGAAATTTGTCTACCTGGTCAAATGGAAGGGATACGATACCTCAGAAAACACTTGGGAACCTATCGAGAACCTCGCGGATGCTCCAGATGCATTAGAGGATTACCGACGGAGGAACCCAATTCACCAGGCGGAGACATTGGCAGGTTGGCGAACAAGGCCTCAAAATCCACGTCGGAGATAGCATTTAGTTGCATCTCTCTCGTCGGAGAAGGAGGAGGGATGCCATCGGGATCCTCCTCATCTAAGATCTCCATCACGTTGGAATCATGATCCAACATTTTCGAACCTCGCTCTTTGAGAAACTGCTGTTGTTTGAATAAACGATTTATTTTCGCGGACAGATCCGCCTGTTTTGCAAGAGCATCGCGAAGCTCTTGATTAATACGATCCTCAGCTTTCTGAAGATCTGACCATTCTCGCTCACTATGAAATCGCTTTTCGCATTTGCGACCACGACGTGTGCACGACGCACAGTTTCGACTTTTTGAATCCATTATGCAAATCTCGTTTTTACTTTTGCAATATTCGCACGGATTATCGACGGGGAAACCGTTTCGACGGATGCGATCGGACTGGGACACACGATAAGCCAGACGGTCCTTTTTAGGAGTCATGTTGACGCATTTCGGACACTCACCAAAGGAAGCAGGGTCACGCTGGGAACGAGGGCGCGTCTTCTATTTATACCTTTGAGGACAAAGGACTTCAAGGAGGGGGAGTGATGTTACGAAACCAACATATGCAAAGCTAAGGACAGATTAGGATGTCTTAAGCCACTTCAGGGCAAGTGTCTGTTAAAGCGGCTAACACCACGGCCAACCAGTTACCACGACCACACACAGCCCGTTTGCTACTCACACGGGATTACACATTACATAAGCAACTACACTCGGGTATACAATAAGAGTGTAGGAGAAGTGTAGGAAAAGACAAGAAGGTGATTGGATATACAATCTGTATACGGACAGATTGTAGGGATATTGTAGGAACGACATCTATATAAACACACCCATTTGCATGTATCTAGTTTACCTTAGCATAGTTCTTTAACATAAGTCACTACGATTATTACTATCAGTTACACTGTAAGGGTCAGCAAGGCAATCCCACTTGAAGTACTACGGCACTTCAAGGCATCGCTCCTACTTTAGTTGTGTCTTACCCTCACCTTTACCCTTCGGCAACCTTTGTACTTCGTTACTAGTTACCCTCAAGGAACCTCTGTGTGGTTCAACACATCGTATCGCTCCTCGACACAGCCAGTGACAACTAGAGTGGGTCCCGGTGCGTGACACTGGAGCGCCTTCTCCTCGCAAGAATACTTAGCCTCATCATCAGTATTTATTTCATCCGCTAAGGATGAAAGTTTTTGCTTTTTAGTTCACCGTCCAGATTTGATACTGTAACCCTACCCCCTTGCTTGGTGCATTTGCTCAGTATGGGTGAGAAAACCTGCCAGCTTCTCATGATTGATGCAAATTTCCATTTCTTGAAATTTTCCCGATACAGTTATTTGCAAAAACGGTGCACGCTTTTACTCACTTCAATTGTTTAATATGCTTCACCCTAACCTTAACAGACAAAGTGTCGGAATAATGATGTCCCAAACGTTTCACATAACCGTAATTTACCGTGAAATAACATGACGTCATGTGCAACTTCAACAACAATTCATGGTTCCTGACCAATGCACCTAGGCATAAATATGGATCTATTTATTAAAGACTAGATTAGAAAGCAGGATTTACCGGGATTAGAAATCACTCATAAACAGGCTTATGTTCGTACAGCTCCACACATGTTCTGGTGCCCACTAGTCAGTAGGTTGGTTCGTGGGTCCCATAAATTCCACGACTCCGGCTGTGGTTACTAATCCATAGCGATAGTTCTGGAATGCTAACTGTTTTGAACGCGATTCCGAATGTACCGCAATTCGTGTACGATCTGTGCCGCACGTACGGATCCAGAATGGGAAAACCGGTATTTCTAGCGCGCCCCCGAAGACCTCCTATTTAGCTAGCTCTACACCGCCAATCCCCCTACGGTTTTGGGGGTCAGTCATTATAATACAGATATTCGTGCTTATAAGCCGGCTCACCACGTAGGGCAGTTGGACCGCCCTTGCTACGATATCCTACGCTTCGTGATACGTGACGTACCTAAACCGACATTAACGTTACGCTCATTTCCTATAGTCTAATTATTAGACTATAAGTAAGAATATATAATCTTCTTGGCGGCATCAGCCAAGTTCTGCCAACAGAGTACCTTACCTGAGGTTAGCCAGAATCTACCGGATACTCTCCTCATCCTATACTCTGGCCCCGTCCTTGCCACAAGGTCTCAACAACATGTCATCCACTCAGTCGCAACAAACCATAGTCGTCGTTGGCGCCACGGGAATCCAAGGCTCTGGCGTTGTTCGAGCATTATTGAGCGACGAATATGGTGGTCCTTGGTTTGTCCGAGCTCTTACCCAAGATCCCAGCTCAGGCAAAGCACAGAAGCTTTTGTCAGAATACCAAACTACTGACAATCGTCTGAGTTTGGTCAGTGGCCATATTTACGATGAAACAAGCCTACGGAGCGCCTTTATGGGTGCACACGGCGTCTTTGCCATGACCAGTGAACGATACCCTGGTAAACTTATTACTGAAGAGGAGGAGTTGAAACACGAGATTGATGCAGGGTGTAACATCATCTCCGCTGCCAAGGAGTGCTGCATCAAGCATTTGGTGTTTAGCAGCTTACCTGATACTGTCAAAGCGAGCGACGGCCAGTTCAAACGGATACATCACATGAACAACAAGCATACTATTGAGCAATTGGCAAGAAAGGAGCTTGATGGCTTTACCTCCTTGATGCCGGGTGAGTAGCGGGTATCTCTACAACTTCGAAAACATTCATGGGGTTACTGACGTGTTCGACATGTACAGGCTTTTTTTACACCAACTTGGTCTGGTCACAGTATTGCCGGCTTCGTGGTTTGTGTCCCTCTCTTATTCTCGAAGTTCGAATGACATATCGACACCAGAACTAATGCATTTGTTCCTCAGAGGACGGTGTGGTACAATTTTGTATGCCCCTACCCAGGAATAAAATGGTCCAATGGACGGATCCTGCACACGACATTGGAGCCTTTTCCGCAAGTAAGAGCTCACCACCACATTCAACAGCTGTCTTCTAGCAAGTTAAGGCTGACAATCATTTGAAGAGATATTTGGCTTAGGTGTTAAAAAGACTATAGGGAAGACTTATCTCGCTTTGGGTCCTAGGATAACTCCCGAAGGCATGGCGAAAGCTTTCACGCGCGTTACTGGAAAACCGGCCGTTCATTCTCCTATCTCGTTTGAGGAGTTCGGTCACTTGAGCTCTGCGCTCGTTGGCCCAGCATTCAAGGAAGACGCCATTGAAATGATGCAATGGGCTGCTATAGCTCCAACCGACAAGACCTGCCATGGAGCCTTTGAGCTAGAGGTTGAACAATCTAGCGAGGAGCTAGGTCTTACTGGTAGCTCTTTTGAAGATTGGCTGAGGCGTAGCGGATGGACTGGTCCTTAGGAGGTGTATTTATTCTCCGAGATAGAGTTCTGAACTGAATCATCCAATTATCGCGGGGACTACATAGGCTTAATGACCGCCGCGATTCAATCAAGTCGTTATTTATCTTGTTTTCAGGCTCATGTAGTGGGCTCCTGCGTCATCAGGTAACCGTGCTGTCTATGAGGCTTCAGGCTGTAACACTGTGTAACAGGGATACGTATCCCACCAGGAAGTGACAATGTCAACGGAACGGCGGTAGTTGGATATATCCGTTTTACCACATCATCTTTACCCATAGAAGCGTAGTGTTACGAAACCAACATATGCAAGGCTAAGGACAGATTAGGACGACTCAAGCTACTTCAGGATAAGCGCCTGTTAAAGTGGCTAATACCACGGCTAACCAGTTATCACGACTACATATAACCTGTTTGTTACTCACACGGAATTACACATTACATAAGCATCTACACTCGGGCATATAATGAGAGTGTAGAAAAAATATAGGGAAGACAAGAGGGTGATTGGATATATAATCTGTATATAAACAGATTATAA